AAAACGCCCTTTTAGATAGTTGTATATATTAAAAATATTCATAAAAAAAAGAAATTTATAACACCATACCACAAGAACACGATGAATTATTTTATGTAGAAAACTTCCTTGAAGTGAGGAATAAAAATCACTGGACCTAGTTTAGTTAAAACCTCCACTATCAATTAAATAATGGGTACATCAAGTCTTCTCTAGTCATAACTAGAGGTTACAATGTATATTTGTTCAAGATAACAACAATCTCTGCAAAATAATATGAAAATAGGAAAAATATATTCGAAAATCTATTATTGTTCATGCACATTAATCAATGTTCTCGAACTCAAATTTCGATCTACATTGTTTAGATTGTAGCTCTATGTCTTATGAACCCCTCCTCCAAATTTCAGCTCAATTGGACCATGGACGACTCAGGTTGGAGCTTTGATAAAATCTTGGTGCAAGGAAAAAAATTGTTTTTCTTTTCTTTTCAAAAATGGGTTGAATTCCTATTTTCTCCGATCTTCTTGTATGTATATTCATCATTAGGATTAGCATTTTAATGAGCTTTGGGCTATATATAAAACCCCAAACATGGGTTTATTCCTTATAAGAGGAAATAACCCAACAAATCTCACCATTCCGACTATGAGGAAGAATTCACAATCCCAATAATTAAACAGCAATCTTCAAAGTTTTTTTTTTTGGTAGTGTCTTCGTTAACATATTAGTACCATTATGATTGATGTATATTTTTTCAAGTTCCAATAACATATCATTTAATGCATCCCTGATTCAATGGTACCATATATTAATGTGCTTCGATCTTGCATAGAAACTGGAATTTCTAGCAAGATGAATAGCACTTTAGCTATCAGAAAATAACACATACCTCTACTGGTTGAAACCAAGTTCTCTCCTGAACTTTTTTGCCATAGAAACCATTTAGTCGCCTCTGTTGTTGCAAAAAACATTGTCTCTATTATAGAAAGAGCAATACACTTTTGAAGTTTTGATTGCTAGGCTACAACCTCATGTGCAAAAGTAATCATATAACCTAACGTAGACTTACTAGTATCCACATCTCATGCCATATCTACATATGTTTAACCAAGTAACAACGGTTGTCCATTTCCAAAACCAAGTCTCAAATTGGAAGTGCCTCGAAGACACCTCATGATCCACTTAGCTGCCTCCCAATGCTCTCTTCCTGAATTTGACAAGAAATGGTTAATTACACCAACTGTATGGGATATATCAGGTCTTGTACAGACCATCAGATACATCAAACTTCCTACCGCTGAGGCTTAAGAAACTCTTTCCATTATCTTTAGAAGGATATTGCTCAATACTCAATTTGAAGTGGGTAGCAAGAGGAGAGCTAACCACCATAGCCTTCTCCATATTGAATCTCTCAAACACTTTCTTAATATACTCATCTTGTAAGAAATACAACTTCTTGGCACTCTTGTCACCACTGATTCTCACCCCAAGGATTTTCTTTACTTGTCCCAAGTCCTTCATAGCAAATGACTTACCCAACTACTTCTTCAACCCGTCAATTCTTGAAGCATTTCTACCAACAATCAACATATCGTCAACATAAAGTAATAAAATGATAAAGTCATCATTAGAGAATTTCTAAATAAATACATAGTGATCAAAAGTTGTTTTCATTGCTCTCCATAGCAAAGTTAAACTTTTTGTACCAATGTCTCACTATTTACTTCAAACAATAAAAAGTTTTCTTAAGCTTACACACATAATTCTCTTTTCCTTTCACTTTGAAATCCTCTGGTTGCTCTATATAAATCTTTCTCCTCCTCCATATTACCATGGAGTAAAGCAGTTTTTACATCATTCGTTCAATTTCGAAGTCAAGACTAACTGCTAAGCCAAGAACAATATGAATAGATGACATCTTTACAACTGGAGAGAGGATTTCATAAAAATCTACACATTTTCTCTTACCAAATCCTTTTACAACCAATTTAGCTTTATACCATTGCTAGGTAGCTCACTAACTCGAAAGTGTGGTTATCATGCAATGGTTGCATTTCATCTTGTATTACCTCAATCCACTCTTTCTTATGTTCATCTTCCATACTTCTATATAACTCTCGGGCTCTCCCCCATCAATCAATAACATATACTACTCTACTGAATATCCTGTAGAAGGATGTCGATCTCTGTTAGACCTCTTGAGTGAAACCTCTGGTACCATCAACAGCTCATCACTCTCATCATATATCTGAGCCTACAAGGGAACATCGACATAACCTATACTCTGGTAGCCATCCTAAACATTGTCATCAACCTGAAATGGCAAATTCTTCATAGGAACTAGATCAAAATCAATCAAACTATGACTCTTCTAAGGTTCAGATTTCTCCCCTTTTCAATATCTTGAATTGTTTGATCTTTAACAAACATGATATCTCTATTTCTCACAATTTTCTTCTCAATTGGATCATAGAGCTTGTATTCAAACTCATCTTGACCATAACCAAGGAACACACATTGTCTTGTTTTCACATCAAGCTTAGACCTCTCATCTTTAGGAACATGCGCAAATGCTTCACACCCAAACACATACAAGTAATCATAGTAAACATCTTTACCATTCCAAACTTTGCCTAGTACATCATTTTGTAAGGGAACACAAGGTGTAAGATTCAACACATGTACGATCGTGCTCAATGCTTCACCCCAAAAGAATCTTGACAACTGTACTTGAGAAAATAAACACCTAACTCTTTCAACCAGTATTCTATTAATCCTTTCAACTATGCCATTCAATTGAGGAGTTTTTGGAGTCGTCTTTTTATGTTGAAATCTCTTCTATCGGTAACACTCTTCAAAATTACTAGAATACTCTTCATATTACTTGTTCGGATGCACCTCAACTTCTTCCTAGTTTGTCTTTCTACTAGGGCCTAAAATTGTTTGAACACAGCCAACACTTGGTCTTTTGACTTCAACTTGTAAACTCATTTGAATGATCATCTATGAAGGTTATAAAGTAACTAGAGCTGCCAAATGTTCTCGTCTTCATAGGACCACACAAATCTGAATGTACTAAATCCAATATTTCTAACAATCTCGAATGAGGGTAATTCTTAAATGAGACTCTATTCTACTTTCCAGACAAATTGTAAGTACACATTTTTAGATGTGGACTTTTTAGTCCACTTCATACACTTTTTGCTAGAGAGCTTTGCCTGCAAAATATACAATGTAAAGACCTTTTTATCGCAAGTCACAACCATAGCGCCCGTGTAAGCTTTTACTGACTATTACTAAAGGTAACGTCATACCCATCATCATCAAGTTTTCCTACAGAAATCAAGTTTAAACGGATGTCTAGAATATGCTTCACATCTTTAAGAACTAATCTTGAACCATTACTCATCTCCAAACACACATATCCAATACCAGTGACTTTAACCAAGCTATCATTACCCATCTTTACAATTCCAAAATCACCCAAACTATAAGATGTAAAGAAATCTTTTCGTGATGTAGCATGAATGGAGGCACCATTGCCAATCACCTAATGGGTCTCATGACTTGCAAATTGATCATCTCATCATCATAAACAATGAGAAAATCTATAAGAGTGGTGGTAGAAACTCTATCATCACCATCTTTATCATCTTCGTTATTCGCTTCATTTCCTCTTTCATTGTTGTTTTCTTTTTCTTTTTTTTTTTTCATTATATGCAGTGATTCTTGATGTGCCCCTTTTTGCCCACAATAATAACACTAAACATTCGCAAACTTGTTCGACTTGCCTTTACTTCTGTCACCATTCTTTGGACCTCTGCACTTACTCATCTCCCTCTTTCTTGTAAGCATGACCTCTGATTGTGATAAGATAACTGTGATTTTTTTCTCATCTCTTCATTTAAGAAGCTACTCTTAGCCTTGGCTAAATCCATTGTCATGACACCATTTGGAACAAAGTTAAATAATGAAGTTCTGAGCATTTCTCATCTGTCTGATAATGAACCAAATAACCATAACACTTAGATTTCATCATTAAACTTAATACCCATTTTAGCCAACTGATTAATAATTTCTTGGAATGTATTTAGATGATAAGTTAAAGGAGTTCCATCCTGGTATCTCAACGCCATCATTTGCTTAATTAGAAACATTCTTTCTAGCATATAACTATTCAAGCTTACTTCTTAGAGTACGAGCACGTGTCTCCCCACTAACATGATTCAAAAAAATATCATCTACTTACTGCATGATATATCCACAAACTTGTCGATACAACAAACTCCATTCTTGACCTGACTAATCATTCAGTTTTTCAGTTGCAAACACTGGTAGGTAATAATCTTTCACATAAAAAGACCTTCCATTTTTCCTTTCCATATCTGATAATTTAAACCATTCAAGTTAATCATTTTACTCAAATTCGCTTATATAATCTAAAACACATCTTAAAATCTTGCTCCGATACCACTTGTCAGGAGAGATGCAAACAAATAGACAAGCAACGAAATAATTCTTCTCCTAAAAGCAAATAAGTAAAACGCTCTTTTTGATGGTTGTATATGCTGAAAATATTCTAAAGAAAATCAATCACACTAAACCGCAAGAACACAAACAATTATTTTACCTTAAAAAACTTTCCCGATGTGAGAAACAAAAGCCACGGGATCCAGTCCAATCAAAACTTCATTATCAATCAAATAATTGGTACACCCAGTTTTCTTTAGTTTCAACTAGAGGTTACAATGCATATTTCTTTAAGATAAACAATAATCTCGATAAAATAATATGAAATAGGAAAAATGTATCCAAAAAATTTGGTTACTATTCGCGCACATTAACTAATGTTCTCGAACTCAAAATTCGATCTCTACCTCCAGATTGTGGTTCTATTTCTTGTGAATTTCTTCTCCAAATTTCAACTCAATCGGACTATGGATGACTCGGGATCGGAGCTTTGATAAAATCTGGGGGTAGGAAAAAAAATCTACATCTCTTATCATCACGAGGGGAGAATCATTGGTTCATGTAATAATTTCACATATATAAATTAAAATGGTTCGTGCAGTTAATGTCTTCGGTTCATGCATGCATGCATTTACGTGGGAGTTCCTTGGTTATGAAAATGAACAATTGATGCCGCTAATGTCTTCACTTCATGCATGCATTTATAACTTTATGTGTGGTTCCTAGAATAATTAAATAGCTCCAAAATTTTATGAAGTGTACATGCAGCTAAAGTGATGCTTGGTTGCACCTCGACCTCATTCATCTCCTCAATTTTTTCTTCAAATTGACCAAATTACTTTGGTGGAAAGATAATCAGAAACAAATTAAAAACATAACAGATGTCAGTCAATCAATTTTCTCACTTACGGTCGAGGGTAAACCTTGATAAAAAGTTGAAGATAATAATGAATGCACTTTCTTACAGAAAAGTAGTACTTGACAAGGTACACATTTATAGGTTCCATAGTGCTCCAGAGAACTATTCTGTATCTCCTCTGTGGATAATCAATTGCTTGAACAAATCAAGGAAATTCATGAGTATATATGCAGTACAGATTCTTGTGCAATACTTGGCTCTAAGTTATTGGTTACTTTTCCAGAAGAAAGTAAAGAAAACTAACCTCATCAGGATCTGGAACTTCTAAAGTGGTGCCATGTGGAGCTTTGAGTGCTATCAAAGTTTCATTCTGATGAAATAAACATACGAATGCTTCAGTAAGAAACCAATGGAAGCAGTAGGGGAGAACTGATGTGAAATACCTGAAAGCAAGGTAAACTCTTGATGTCTTCTTCAGTCACAACAAGCCACCTGGCAAAGAATTAATGTAAGCATGACAGTGTCAACACAAAAGGAAGCGAGCCCAATGATCCACATAATAGAGTAAGGAGTGCTTTACTTTTGATTGTTTTCATCTTCACTGAAGCCTCTCAATTTCTCTTCCATTTCTCTGAGACAAGCAAACAGACTAGAAGCCTCAGCATTATTAGGAATTTACCAGAACAAATATGTCTTGAAGGCATCAAAATACCTTATTTGTTCATCCAATCTGTGCTCCTCCATATTTAAGCTTTCTACTTCAGCCTGCACGGTGCAAGTTTGAAAACTTATAACTCGTTGGTCATGGAGAAGCATTAGTATATCGTTGAATGTATATGAAGCAGCATTTGGAGGTACCTAACATGGACTTAATATAGACATAATTATCCCAATAGATGCACCAAGTTTTTTTTTTTTTTTTTAATGACGGGGGAATCCATAACTACTATCCTTCAGGTGCGCACTGGGTAAACCCTCGTGCTGACGTAATAGCCTGCAAACCACATCAGCCAGATAAACCACACTAGGCAAGCCCTGTGTGACAAGCTCGATCGAGAAAGTGTTGGTATGGGAAATCGAACTTGTGACCAGAGGCCTTCGCGCTCATCTACTCCACCAACTCGGCCACCCCATGAGGGGCTGACGCATAGAGGAATGTCATTTTAAAAGCCTCACTATGGATATTTTATATTTTGATTTTATAAATTTTAAAAGCACTAACCAAATTTTCTTATATGGAGGAATGTTATTTTAACATTGTTTGGGAAATACGTTTCAAATTTATGATAAATTGTATTAGCATGTCCATCTATTGCTCACGGCATTAACTTTTCTCCCCCTAATACTCACATTTGCATCAAATTAGAGTGCCCTAATCATTATTCTTAAGGGGGAAATGTGTTCCGCTTTGTTATTCATGACATGGGATCGACTTTACAAAGTCAATTTGTTCCTTTGTTGATAGCCGACTTTTCTGCCTTTTTCTAATTTGAATAGTAAATTTTTAAAGTTTTAAAAATAGATTATAAAATGGGAGGAAAGGTAGAATATTAAAGTGTATAATCGAACTATTTCTAATATGTCTACCTCTGCATTTACATTAGTTTTTACCAAGCTATGGGATATGTCCTTGATGTTGAGAGAACGATGAGCTCAATTTGTAAGATTAATTAGTTTGAGATATCAAATGAGTGAAACGTTATTAATGATCAATAATCTCATTATCTTATATGGTTAGTGTAACAATGCCCATTTATTATCATTACTCATACAATTTTTAGTTTTGTATTAAGTTAATCTCTGTTGCATTTGAACGCAAAACATAATGAAGTGCATAGGCATGAGTGGCACATTGCATCAGACTTGTGGCTAGCCTATGGTGCAGCCTTGGGTTTTTTCTACTTATAATTTTGCCATAAACATGGCTAAAGAGGCTAAACATATTGAAGGTGGAAGCTTTTACAAGGAATTCTTCCTCCCTAAAGCACATGTTATATGGCCGGAAAACCATTGTTGTGGACTTGGGACAATTAAAAAGAACCACTCATATGTGAGTATGAAGTACTCGTACAGGTTCATTCCTTTATCTCTATTTCAATTAAATGTGTTAAAAGCATTGCCTAAACAACAAGTATTTAAAACTCATGTGACAGGCAAAGCAAAAAGTGAAAATGTTCATAGAGCTAAAGATAATGATGAGGCATTGAACGATGAAATAGAGGGTTCGAAGGTAAGGCATTTATTTTGCTAATAGTTAATTTTCTTACTCTATGAAGTTCATTTAAATGTTTGGCTTTTATTATTGGTTTTGCATGTGTAGGTGCACGACACTTGCCAAGGACTCTTGATGATGTTCCTACTCGAGCGGCATGTAAACAAATTAAGACCTATAGTATCGTTTGAATTCAAGTTTTATACAATTTAGTGAGCACATGAGCTACAAGTTCTCGAGTACATAGTTTGTTAGTTCATGATATCGGAGCCATCATTTGGTCACATTGCCCAATGAATATGGGTTATTGGCAGACCATTTCTCCTAGTGATCAAAAGAAAGACATTATGGATGAGATTACGATAAGCAAGTGTGGATGTATTTATGCTGCTGGAGAATTCATAGCCAAAGAAAACTACATGAATCAATTAAAGCATATTAATCATTTCATTTTGTGATTTTTTTCCTTTTACTTTGTGATTTGTTTTCTAGGTTTGCGTAGTTTGTCATAAAATTATGATTTTTTTTTAATTTTATGATTCATTTTTTAAATTGTTCAATTTCAAACAAACTTCAAGATAGATTTGAAAGACTTGAGATCGACAAATTATATTAATAGACTATACAATGGGAGATAGGAGTGCAAGGTTGAGTTGAGTGCATAATATAAGTTGTGCAAGACACATGAGAATGCACTAGCCAACCCTCCTTTTGAGATGCTTGATAGGGGTGTAGATCTACGGGTAGAACTATGAAATCATTTCAACTCCGGTCTTTGTTGTGTAATTACTTGCCAGTTTATAGCTTTTAACTCTTAATTTTGTTATGTAATATCAATATTTTTTTTCTTTGCAAAAGGCGTCTTCAACAAACACAGTGAATCGATCAAAGAAGAAGTATAATTATTTTAAGAATTCACGTCCTTTGTCGTACATAGTGGAGGAGATGACTGAGATAATGAACTTATATGTTATCAACATATACTTAATTAATTTTGCTAAAAATTTGATTACGGTGTTTGACATATATGTTTTTTGTTATTATGATGCTTTGAAATTTTTCAAAGTCGACATATTTGAGTTCGCTTATGCAGGGGTCTTATAATGTAGCTAAGGCTCAACATATAAGAAAAATTCAACACTATAACTTTGTTTACTTTATCATGTTTTATCTACTAGGTTAGATACAAAAAATATATGACAAAGTTAGATAAAAAAAGGCTAGAAAAACTATCACTAGATTAAGTAGTATGACAATTTGTATGCTTTTCGTGTGGCCATTTTGGAAATAGATATTGCCATGGTCAAAGTATTTTTGAGGTTGATTATACCTCTTGGATTGTGCTATTCTCTTATGTACAGTTGTGTTACATCTGTTACAGAATTTGATTTTATGAATTGTCCAATATCTCTTGAGGATTGTGTTTGTATGATGAGATGCTCGTCAAAAAGTATGAATATCTTGTGGAGAGAGCAAAGAAGTAGCAACTTTCCAAAGATACCTCTTTTGGAGGAGATACCTGTAGATGATTCCAAGGTTGAAATTAATATCTTAATATCCGTTCTAGATATGAAGCTCAAACGTCAAATTCGTGGGTTAGGAGATGATCGCTTTTGTGGCACTGGGACATCATGTCTAATGTACACAGTTTGGAGAAGGAGTTAGAAGCAAAACATGCCGCTTAAAAGGTAACCAATGCTACTCAAATGAAGATGGAGCAAATGATGTAGAAAAAGCCGAAGGTTGTTGAGCAATAATTCAATTCTACATTATAGTCTTGGCATCATTCTATGCACCAACTATGTGCTAAAGTTCGTGGTTTCATTGTACCACCATTTACACTATTGTCAATAGAGAATAATGCTAATGGAGAAGATGATGCAATTGAGGACGAAGAGAATAACTTTGGTTAAGATTAGCTACATATCTAATTTATGAGGATGAAGAGTTATAATTTTATGTGCACAATAATAGATATAGTATTTGCTGTACTCTTTTCTGGTTTTTATTTGTGTTTTGATGAAATATTTTGAATTCAATGTTACATTGATTGACACTGGAGGTCTTAACTAATTTATTATCTTTTCGTATCTTTATATTATTTTGAATAAGGTTAAACTTACTATAATATAGATATCAAATAAAATATCAAAAAAGTTATTTGTAGATAAAAACAAGATTTAACCCACAAAATAATATATACCATGTTGTCACAAAAATTGTAGGAAAAAATGTGTGTATCTTAGCCCATAAATATTATTTATACGCAAAATTTATTTGTAGGGAAAACGTGATTTAGCCCATAATATAATATATAGGGAAAAGTAAAACCATATCGTGGGCAAAATTAACTTTAGTAGACGGATGATTTTGTCTGGAGCTTACACGATATAATATATTCATCTCCAAAGAATTTGTATGGAAAACCTTCAGGCCATAAATTTCAAAAAGTTGTCATCTTTGTCCCCTTAATGTTTGCCCTACAAATGTACCTACAAATTTTTTTAGTATGCAAAGGTTTGTTTCCACAAATAAGAACCTTTTCCCACAAATAACTTTTTTAGGGAAAACATAAAATTCTTGTAGTGAAATATTAAATTATTGAAAAGTTAAAATAATTGAGAAATGAACTAGAAGATCAAATGGGAACTTAAACTGATCAAATTGGAGAATGGTTTAATGGTGATTTCAAAATTGTGTTAAGAGAACATGATTATCTCACACGGAACTGTACCACATGCACCAAGACACAAAATGGAGAAATTGCAAATGATCCAATCGATGATGAAGCTATGAAGAATTCTCAAAAATTGTTTTTGGGCTATGCACCGAACACTTTGTGCTACACACTAAGCCATGTCCTATCTATAAGTATTATGCCCTAGGTCCAATCAACTTTGAACATAAATACTTTTGATATATAATTAATGTAATTTAATGGCAGATCTATTATTTAATTAATAGACAATTAAATAAATAATAGAGTCCGTAAATTCAAATCTTCGTAATTTGTTAATCACAATGAGTTGTGATTGTGAGATACAAATTACATCTGATTGAATCTTAAATCGTCTGTGGTTGTAAGTAATAACGAGATACGGATATCGTTATTACGGATAGACCATCACGTGTGGCATTTCTTACTTGTGAAGAAAGTAACTGATCTCACAAACTAAAGTATGATGACACTTAAATGAACACGTAGATGTTTTGTTATAGAACAAAATATTAGAGACCCGTTGAGAGATTCCATATGGATAACTATCTGAGTGTCAGTGGTTAATCTCTAACGTTCGGTAGTGGAATTGGTCCTTTGACTTGAGGTCGTAATGGTGCCTTATATGAGGAAAGTCAAACTTTGGCGATATTGGATGTTGCTCTGCAAAGGGCTGCTATTACGACATCGTTCGAGTACGTCAAGAATCGTATGAAGGTTGTGATTGATCAATAAAGGATTCATCACTCTTAGATAGTAGGAGATTATGATCTACGTTTCATTCAATTAAGTCGATGATGAAATCCTTGGACAAGTGGTGTACTTATAAGTCGAAAATGAGTTTTCGACTTATATTGACTTAATAGTGGAGTGAAAGATATGATCGTTAATCGAGATTGACATACTTTCATATCTCGTAATTGATCGGATCATATTGACGAAGGGATTATAG